AAAGTCTGACAGTTGCTGTTGAGGTTGCAAGAAAGACCGTTTGACTATAAATCGATGATAAAGAACTCCATTTTTTTAATTTGGGTTGTTCGTGATTTAGCTGTGTGCTTTAGGTACGTCCGATCTTAATAATCAATAATTAAAATGGAAGCTGGTATTTCACTGAAGGTTCTTAGGTCAAAACAAATAGAATAACGTAATTAGAATTGAGTAAATATATCTAAAACTAAATTCCATATCCAAGATATAATTAAATTTATGTTTTCTGCGATTCGGGATATCTTTAACTTAACCAATTAAAACTATCAATATCTCAAGTGAAAGCCTTTGAAGTATTTTAAGACCAAGACATATAAAATAACTTAAATAAAAGTTGAGTTACGTATCTTAGATTGCAGATAAGCACCTAAACGATTATAATTATTGTTGATTCGTCATTCAGCAGTGTGCTTTAGGTAGGATTATTAAGATTGGAATCTTAATAATCAATAGCTCAAATGAAAGCTGGTATTTCATTAAAGGTTTTTAGACCAAAACATATAGGGTTATGTAATTAGAACTGCTGGAATACATCTTTAATTGAAGTAAAAAAACAAAAAAAGCTAATTTATATTTTTTTCGTTGAGTAATACATTAGATAAATTAATAATGATGCTTGATGACAAATATATGCTTGCATAGCTTAATTTTTTAAGACCAAAATTATGAAAATCAAGCTGGTAGAAGAGCCAAACGAACTCGAAAAAAAATTAACTCCCATAAGAAATTTACAGGGACGCATTTTGTGCATAACTCGAAATATACGTCAAAATGAATGCTGATGATTGATGGCAAATCTGTGGTGCGTCCATACCTTTAGTTTAAGGCCAAAATTATGAAAATCGGTCGGGTAGAAGACCTTTAACCCGACTCAGAAAAGAAAACCAATAATTTTTATAGATGGCAATAATTTGTTTACCAGTATGCTTAATCTAAACATACGAAACATGTGTTAATAATTTAACAGCTTATTGTTAAATTGTTATTTAAATGATTTTTCTTTGATTAAATGTTGTTGTTAACAATTTGCATTTGTGTTTAAGTGAGTTCCTTATGTTAAGTATGCGATTCTAATGTTATGTGCTTAATCTGTACCATTAATATTAGTGAGTAAAGTGATGTATGGATTTCACAACCATTATTTTACTATAGACCGTTGTATTTAACCACAACGGGCTCTCTAGCTAGTATGACACATATTTGTCCATTGCAATCGATTTCTAAATTGTATCATTTAAATATGGCAATCTTTTAAACTTTTCTTTTTAAATATCTTAAATACGAGTAGTTCTACTATTCACTGTATCAACTTAACATAGGCCCTATATGGGGGAGCGAGCTGGTGTAGTGGTTAGAGCGCGGGACTTCAGTCCCTGAGTTACCGGGTTCGATCCCCACCAAGTCACCAATAGATTTTATCTAAGTAATAATGCTGCAACCCTAGGTCTAGCCTGAAGTAATGAAAAAAAACAATACCAGGCTCGTGACTAGCGACCTAGTAAAAAAAATAAAAAAATAAAACTATACGCTGTATCGTGTTCAGCTAACACTAATCCAACGACACTTCAACAGTACAGATCAATTATAAACAAGTGAGATACTACACATTTTTAGGACGCGTGCATATGAATGTTAGGTACCGACATCAAGGTAGTTTTATTCGTCTTAAAACTGTCTTAAGCAGACATCACTTTGATGGTTAAAATGGAATTTGCATTATTCGTCCAAGCTTTGAACCCCATTTAAATGAGATATGAATTACGGTAGGTATAAATGAGGAAACGTGACATCATAGTTTAGTTAAAAATTCCTCCGTGACCAGCGCTGTAGTTAAAAGCACAGCGCGTAATTTTAAAAATTAGGAAAAATTTTTTACCTAACCCGCCATGTTAAACTTCCCTATCCTAAGCGTGATGTATACAATTTCCTTACTACTCGAGTGATGTAAAGTATCAAAAAACTCACTCGGTGATGTAATGAAACCCATTTAAATAACATTGAGTGGATAACTTAAAAAATATAACTCTATGGAGCCAACGACGTTTAACGCTAGAAATCAGCTGTGTGCTTGAATGTTATTGTTATTGTTATGTTTTGGAGAATTTTCCTAACCTAGCTTTTGTTTGTAAATGAACCTTACTGTTATAAGATGAGTGAAATGGGTAATGAAAAATATTTTTCGTAACCTTCTGTATATTGTCGGGTCAGGTAAAATCTTGTACGTTACACGTTACGCAAGAGCGTGTTTACATCACTTAGGTAAATTATGCAACTCGCTTCGCTCGTTGCACAACTTTCACCTGCGTGATGTAAAAACGCTCTTACTACACTTGTAATGTAAATAGCTATTAAATCTTGTATTTTTTTATTATAAAATTAAACTGTCATAACCTAACTGTAGGATTATTGTTATCAGCTGAGTTATAAAGTTATGAATCATCTGCTATTTGGTTTGTTTACATTATTGTTTTGTTTTGTAAATAAATAGTTTTGATTGAGTTTACTTAACATGAGTTTTAATAATTAATTATTCTATATTGGCGACGAGAAAATGCCCATGAAAACAGACCAGTCTCAGTATAAGAGTGTAATTGACAGTAGTAACATGTCTTGCATACAAGATAGAATGAGCAGATTTTCATTTAAAGAGTTTAATAGTGAACAATTGTGGGAAGACTACATAACTCGTTTTGAGTTGACCTGCAGAGTTAAGGGACTGGGTGGTGCTAACACAGAAGAACAAGCGGCTCGGCGAGATCTTCTATTGGCAAATATCGGAGAGGAGCACCTCAGGGCACTGTCGGACCAGATATATCCAAGGGCCTGGGAGGAGTGCACCTACGACGAAGTCAAAGAGGAAGCCAACCGGTTGTTCAAGCCTACAAGGACCCTTTTTGCAACAAGGTTTGAGTTTGAAAGAGCAATAAGAAAAGATGGTGAGACATTTATTTTGTTTTATAACAGATTGAAGTCTTTAGCTAGAAGTTGTAAATATGGAGATAGCTTAGATGAAAGAGTACGAGATAGGTTTGCAGTATGGAGCAACTGTCCAGAATTTGAAGTTGAAGTTAGACAAAGATGGCCCGAGGGAGTTAATAACCGAGGTGAGCGTGTTAAGTCAACAGTAGTGCTAGAGTTAGCTCAATCTATGGAACGCGCAAGAGAAGAAGTTTCCAAACATTCGTATAAAAATGAGATTTTCAAAGTAAGTGACAGTAAGGAAAAGAGGAAACCAGAGGTACAGAAATCTACTGGTTTCAATAGGTGTTATAGATGTGGGTTTACACATGACCCTAGTGAAGATAGGTGTCCTGCTGTTTCTGCTGTGTGCAAGAAATTTTCAAAGAGAGGCCACTTCGCAAGAATGTGCAAAAGTAAAAATAATTTTTTCAAGAGAACAGACGGTAATTTGAGAAAAGTAGATGATTCTCGTGATAAAACTTTCGATGATGAGTGTAGTTCTGATATTGATGTTAGCGGAACACAAATCAGGTCAGTCAAGAGTAAGGTTCCCAGAGCTACAATAGATGTAGAGTTGAACGGGTATAATGTTAGAATGGAGTTTGATTCCGGGGCTCGGGTAAGTGCTATAAGTTTGTCTCTTTGGGATAAGATCAATTCAAGTGGTGAATCTATCAAAAAGACATCTGATGTCATCACTGGCTATGGGAAAAATAAACTAGAAGTCATGGGTAAGGCTTTTGTGGACGTTACTTTTCGTAATCGTACTAAGCGATTGCCAGTTATTGTATTACTAGAAGATGATGTTCCATTATTTGGGTTGCCGTGGAGTGTAGCTTTCAATCTTAATTTGCCTAGGGAAGTAAGGGTTAGGCGTATTGACAATGGAAAGACAAATAGTAAAGAGACAGGTAAGAATGAAGAAAGTTATAGAAAAGAAGTTGAGGCATTAACCCAGGAGTTTTCCGAACTCTTTCGTGATGAGCTAGGAACGATATCTGACTCTAAGCAAGTTATACATCTAAAAAGTGGAACAAAACCTGTATCTTACGGGGCACGACGAGTTCCATTCCCCTTAAGGGAGGCAGTGGAGCGAGAATTACAGCGATTAGTACTGGAAGGAGTTTTGGAAGCAGTGGACCCTTCCGAAACACCGATAGAATGGAGTACCCCAACAGTGAACGTAGACAAGGACGGACCACAAACCACTTGAAAGAATATTTGGAATGCATCGAGATCTTACCAAAGTAGTAAACAACCGTTTGGTTCGTTGGGCTTTGTATTTAATGGAGTATGATTTTGAGATCCAGTACATCAAGGGACAGGATAATTGTTTGGCTGATTTTTTGTCTCGGTTTTCACTCAAGACACAAGAAGAATTAGATCCAGATGAGAGAGAGATTCGAACATTGGTTCAGGAGAAAATTTATGTAGTTTATCCAAATCAAGAACTTGTGATGGAGTACAAGAAAGACCCAAATATGAAGAAACTTATAGACTACCTGGAACATGGTTGGCCAAAAGATACAGAAAACTTACCATCATCTATGAAACCATATTGGAATAAGAGAGAAGAGCTGACATTAGAAAACGGTATAATCATGCGATTAGGAAGAATTGTGGTGCCACAGATTTTGAGAGAAAATGTATTGAAAGAACTCCACAAAGGACATCCTGGAATAGAGGCTATGAGGTCCCTATCAAGGTATTATGTTTGGTGGCCTAATCTGAATAAGGATGTTGAGTTGTATGTCCGTAGATGCCACCCATGCCAGAGTAACCGCTCATTTGACACAGAAGTACCTCTATATCCTTGGAATGTGCCAAGTGATCATTGGGAGCGAATTCATCGTGACTTCGCAGGCCCATTCGACAACCGATATTGTAAATAGATTAAGAACTTGGTTTTCGAGGTACGGCGTTCCTAAAAAAAATGTATCCGATAATGGCACCCCCTTTACGTCCCATGAGTTTAAGACTTTTTGTAAGAACAATAACATATGTCATGTCACATCGGCGCCGTATCATCCAAAAACCAATGGTTTAGTAGAGAGAATATTATCAGAACCTTCAAGAGTAGATACAGTGCTTGCAAACAAGAAGGTCTCAGTTCATCACTTGCACTTTTACAAGTGTTGGTTGCTTATCGGAACACCCCACAAAAGACCACAGGACAACCACCATCAGTCCTTTTCTATGGTAGAAGAATACCAACAGCTTTGGATAGGTGGAGGTGTAATAGCAGAGAGAGAATAGAAAATCAAGTGTGGCGACAGAAGTACTACCACGACTTAAGATCTAAACAAAAGGAGTTTTCTGTCAAACAAGAAGTGTGGGTTCAAAATGAAACGAAGAAGGGCTGGAGACCAGGAACTGTACAAGAAAGGACGGGAGAGCTATCATACACAGTTTTAGTTGGGGGAGAAATAAAGAGAAAACACGCTGACCAGCTGAGAGCAAGAGAAGGTGCAACTGATCCACCCCAATGGAAAATGCAAATGGAACCTGAAAAGGATGATGTACATAGTTTCGGAAACTCAGCCTAAATTGGGTGGCGAGAAATGTAGGATTATTGTTATCAGCTGAGTTATAAAGTTATGAATCATCTGCTATTTGGTTGTTTACATTATTGTTTTGTTTTGTAAATAAATAGTTTTGATTGAGTTTACTTAAAATGAGTTTTAATAATTAATTATTCTATACTAACTAAGGTTGCTGATGATGAAAAAAGTTGAATAAATGTTTACTAATCGAAAAAAAACAGTTCTGTTCATCAAATAAAACTATAAATGCCTAAAATTTAATTTTATATATTTTTTTATTATAAAATTAAATTGTCATAACCTTACCAAACTAACCATACTTGCTGATGATGAAAAAATCGAATGAAGGTTTTCTAATCGAAAAAATAGTTCTCTTCATAAAATAAAATTATAAATGCCTCAAATTCTAACTAAAGATGTACTACAGTTAAGAAGTAATCGCATTCTAAGCTAAATCGTTGACAAAATGTTAATGCTTCCGGTGGGAATCGATCCGGCTACCTTTGGTTTATCAGCCAGAAACACTTCCACTACACCACCGAGGCCGATGATGGCTCTATACCGTATAGTTGCGGTATGGCGTTCTGGTAGCCCTGCTGGCGTTCCCTCAAGAGAGTCCAAGTCCATATGGCTGTTGCGACTAGCGCCACGTCTCGTGAAGCTCCTGCTCGCTAGGAGCCTATACTTCTGGTCTGCTGTGGGTCCAAGCCCTGGTAGCTCAGCTACCTGTAGACGTCAACGTCGTTCTGGGGGTTAGTCCTCGATCCGGGGGCGGAGCTGGGGAACATCCAGGTCCCTGATGTGTTCCCACGGAGAAACATCCGCCGTCCCTTCATCAATTCTTGCTCGAAGACCGTCGACGAAGTAGATCTGACAGCTGACGTCATCGAAGGCTCTTCTATACCTCCCTTGAGTAAATAATATTTAGATGTTAAATTAGCACACAGGCCCCTCGTTAAAATTTATTTCTATCAATTATACTTAAAGGCCTCAAACGAGCAAATACGCTCCACAACTACACCGCCTGATAAAATACAATGATAAAATGTGTCGTATTATGTTTATAGACTAGGGTGGATCTTTAAAAGCAACAAAACTGTTCAAAACAATCCGTAGCTAATCTACCTAATATTAATTTATTTATTCAAAATTGTATTAAAAATTTATTTAGCAGAACCAATTTGCCATCTCTAAAAACTTCCACAAGTAGTGAACCATGGTCGTGGATGTCAGCTTGCTGCCTAAAATGTATAGTTCAATATGAAAACTATTCAACCCGAGTACAATTTTGTAAAGTTTACAACACTTACAGGTTTATAAATCAGTAGCTTTTTGGAAATTCCATTATCGAACTGTCTAAACCATACGTTAAGGTTATTAGTATAGGTTTCGGACTGGTTACATCATTTGTTTATGTGTATGATCCATACCACTATCTGTACTAGTATTCGTGGTGGAACCTAAATACAAATTTTAATAACAAGACTAATACTTAAGAGACACCACGTTACACGTTAACCATAATTAATTGTCATCCAGTTTTGCAGTGAATAAAATTGTTCCGTAACGATAAATATACTTAACCAACAAACCGACTCTTTAAAATACTAAAATAATCTACTGAATAATCATACTAATATTATGAGTGAGAAAGTTTGGATGGATGTTTGTGACAAATAAACGCGAAAAATACTAAACCGACAGGGTTGAAATTTGGTATGATGATAGCTCACGTTTCCGTTTAAAATAGAGACATATTCTTATATCAAAAATCCTTTCGGGCTCCGCCCCGGTGGCTCTGGAGTTTCCCATGTCAACCTTATAAGTTCATGTTTAAGAATTTTGTCAGCTGTTTCAACTGCACAAGTTGGTTCTATGATATTAAATGGCATTAAAAAGTTATACGGTTTACCAACAGGGTGCAGCACTATTATTTTTTCATATATGACAACAGCTAATTTGAACCAACTAGAAATAAAAAGCTGTGGTATACAATGAGAACTTCACTTTTTCTATGGTTTAGGTGCAGTGGTAAAACATTATGGGTATGGTAGATGTGCTATACTATAGCACACCGTTTAAATTAAAATAACCAAATTTCCTTAAACCGTGTCCTCTCCCATAACTGCAATAAGCATTACTTATATGCCAACCCCGTACGAAGGATGGACACTCTGCTAGTTGAGTCATAAAATACAAAGCCTAAACCAAGCAACGGATATTAGGGGAATCAGCAGTGGGACCATTGAACACGAGTTAAACGTCGAAACTCTCAGAATCATTACCCCCGAGTGAATGGGTACGGTACTACTGTAAGGGTAATGGCAGTTTTTGTGTTGTGTATGTTAAGGTCTGCAAATTTATGGGCTCGCATTATGCTGTTTATGAACTTGGATCTCCAAAGTAGAATAAATATGTTCTTAACAGTTTGGCAAGCCACTATTTCTACAATATTGAAACATATATAGTTTTCGTCATATTGCAGCAAAGCTTTTTTCAATAAATGCTATACCGAATATTAGGGGAAAAAATTCTTCACAGAAATAAAAAAACTATGCATGTAATCGATAGTCATTTAGTGCTGTATGTAACAGGTTAAGATTAGGGGATTCAGGAGGCATTGCCAACGCCGACTTTACCTAGCTTGATTCGAATAAACGGTGACTTTCTTGGCATCTTCCGAAACGAACACTACTCGTAGAAAATATGAGTTTCGAGTGAAAATAAGATTAACATGGAAAACAAATCGGAACCACCAAAACTGGTGGCTATGAAACTCCAGCTGTTGTCAGAAATTAAAAGTGAGAAGAAGAACATATGTCGATTGTAAACAGTCAATAAGTTTGCTAATTTAACAGTTAGCTACAAACATTTACTTACTTGGTTGAAATGAAATATTTACTATTTAAATTTGGGTTGGCGTAAATACTAGGAATGCGGCCTCAGGTCCGCCAATTGAGCGGAGTAAGCAAGCTTTGATAAAAACAAAAAACTTTAATTTGTTTTCATGATTCAAATTGAATACATGATGACGTCACCATAGCAACAATCCAATTGAATTCTCGTGCTTGGGTAGAAGAGTTAAAGGAAATATGAATCCAGTCAGCTGTTTCTATTAGGTCATTGATTTTTACTTGTATATATGAGTACTTGTCGCTGATTTAGTTAGTTAGTTTTACAAGTACTATGAGTACTTGTAAAACTGTGTGTTTGTAATAGCATAAAGATAAGTATTATTTTGTCAATATCCTAATGTTTGTTTAGCTCCCATTTATGTAATAGGCTTATAGGCTTCCTTCTCATTTTCTCTAACTAAAACATTTAGCCAATTAGTAAACTTTGCTCAGCGAATAGAATGACAGAAGAAGGTGACTATATATAGCAATACCATAGTCAATGGTCACCACAGGAAATAAGGCGTGGCTAATTTCACGAGCTGATGATGCCCTGAAAAAGATGGTGGTTGCCGCGACGCTAGTGGCATTGAATTGGTGATGTTTGTGCTAGCTCCACCCCGTTGCCAAAATAGGCCTACTGTACTCAATAAATAGATTAGATTTTAAAGACGGCACTGGATATAGAATTGATGAATTAAACAAGAATATATTTATTCCTCATGCTAAATTACAGCATTATTAAGTAAAATACTGTATATGCATAATAAACTACTGTACAACAAAATTATTAAAATCATATATAAAAGACGTTTTTATATTAGACTATGGCAATTTAATTTGAGAACCTGCACTGTGTTGATGTAAAGCCTATTTATTGAGTTGTACTAAATTTCCAACCTGACATAAAAATGCCAACATGCTGTTCTGTTAGCTGTAATAATTCATCTTATAGTATTACGGAAAAAATAGGAATATTATATCAAGATGATTTTATAACTAAACTCCCGTACAGGCCAAGCAGTCTAGGCTCTACTTTTTGTAATTATTACCTTATTATCTTCATCTTTTACCCAAAAGGGATTGATGGCGTCAGACTTTCAAATAAAAAATATATACATTTAAACAAACAGGCATAAATTACTGAACATATATTTACAACATTGGCATGTGTAATTGTAACTGTGTCTGTATACCTGCACAGAGAAAATTACTTCCACACTTATAAGTTATAAATTGGACAACACAAGTTAACAAGTTTAGTTAAATATTTAATTATAATAAATAGCTATAACTGAACTTCTGTATAGGCCTAGCAGTCTAGGCATTAGGCCTACGCATCGTAATCGTAACTGTTCAAGCCTAACCATAAGTGGACTTCTATAAAATCTTAGGTAATTATTTATTTATTGTAGTCGCAACTGGACTTTAGTGTGCAAGCCCAGCAAATCACTGTATTTATTTAGGATAGGCTACCGTTAATAATATTTGAAAATAATGAATTCCTGCTTCGGAAATACAGTTTCTATAGTTTTCAATTTGAATACTCTCTTTTACTGTTTTTAAACTAAGCACCTGGAGACAAAATCATTCCCCATTCTGCGATGCCAGCCTTTACTACTTCCTTCACCATTTCCTACGTCATTGTTTCCTTCCCTTCTCATAGCATTTAAGTATTACGGATACATTAATCTAACTGCCACAAACGGTTCCCACACTCTGCGATGCTAAACATTACTACTTCCTACGTCGTGGACGTGTTGTCATCTCTTTCCATTGCATTTTAGTATTTTAAATACATTAATCTAATTGCCAACAACATTTCCCACACTCCGCGCTGCTAGCATTTACTACTTCCTTCACCTCTTCCTACGTCGCGGACCTGTTTCCCTCCCTTCCCATTGCATTTTAAGATTGCAGATACCTTAATCTAATCCTTATAAACAGTTCCCACACTCCGGACTGCTCACCTTGACTACTTTCTTTACCACTTCCTACGTTTCGGACCTGTTTTCCTCCCTTCCCATAGCATTTTAAGATTGTAGATACCTTAATCTAATCGTCATAAACAGTTACCACACTCCGGACTAATATTTACCACAAAACTAA